TATATATATAAAAGAAGAGAAAGCAACGATAAAGTTCTATACAAGATAAAAGATAAATTTTAGAAGTAGTTATTTGTAAATAAATGACCACTATGTCTATTCGCCGCAACCCTAATGCAGTTACATTATTATATTATATTTTTATTATATTTGTTCATATGAAAGTATGGCCTACCTTATAAATTTGACCATTAGATATTGGAATATTTACATTCTTACCACTCAATTTATATGCATTTACATTTACATGTATAATACTAAACTATAATTCGCACATATATGCCACTTTTTTTATATATGGAGAAGATGCATTTTATCTATTTTTAAAATTAAATAGTTATTTATACATATAAAGTTTAGATATTAGATATGTAAATGAATAGAAAATGGATGGTAAATATGTAAATGCCTGAAGAAAAAAAATTAGAAAAGTCAACTTTTATAAATACTTAGGGTAGCTTATTGAATAATTTGCTAAGCTGATTAAAAATAATGTGTTGATAAGCTAGGTGCGGTGGATTTTACAATTTTTTATTTTTTTTGGAAAAGTTAGACCGTAGTCAGAAAACTTCCACCGCACCTAGATTGATGCGGCCTGAAAAGTGAAAACGTTATTTTCAGCATTTTAAAGACGCATAAGCTATCAAAATGTAGTTTACCCAAACAAGGCATGTGCATTTTCAAAATGCCACCGCACCAAATAAGCTGTCTCAAATTGGTATGAGTTACAAAAATACCACTCACTTCAAATATATTTACATATCCAACACTCAAAACTTTAATTTTCACACATATCACCTTATCATGCATGAAAAAATAGTGTATTTCACCTTTTCTAAATTTATTAATGTGATATAAAGTAATTGGATGGTATAAATGTAAAAAGATATGCTTATAGGTGTTAGAAATGTAAATTCATAAGATTGGAGTGGTAAATATGTAAAATGACACATAAAAAAAGGCCAAAAAAGGTTACGGTCCACTTTGCTATGTCGATTTGCCGCAAGCAGCTCCTAACAAGACAAACAGAGGATCAAAGAAATTACAAATGAAAATTAAATATATTTAAACCTAATAAATTATTATATTATATTTTTTTTATTAGGTATAACCTTATCACCCATTAAAAGGGGAAGATTTACATCCATACCACAACTTCTATGTACCCCACCTTATTTAAATATGGAAAAGACTCCTTAAAAATTATAATATTGATATTCTTATATGATATAAAAAAATTGTGCGATCGAAATATATAAGAGTTGGGTGATATGTGTGTAAATGGAAAAATTAGTTCATATGCATAGATGCATGTGGTGTCTCATCTAAACCGTCGATTACCGATCTCCACCGTCTCATCAATTTTTTTTTAAAAAAAACAAAAGCGAGCCAATTAAAATACACCTTTACGGTGATTTACGGTGTAGATCGGATACCGTATGCATCTCTGTATGTGGTGTCGTATGGAACAATTTTTCGTGTAAATAACCCTGTGATTCATATTTTCATTTAAATTTTAAAACCGAATTCCGACAATTATACCCCTGATTATTTTTTTTTTCTCTAAAAATTCCGTATGTCCCAAGTAATTAAGCACATTGGGGGTATAACTATTGAAAGATTTACATATGCACCACTTAATTCCCATGTATTTACATATCTGACATCTAAGCTTTAATTGTACATATATGTTGTCTTACATGTGCATAAAAACTTGTATTCTATTTTTTAATAGCTAACAAATATAATGTTGGATCTCGGAACATGTCTGAAGTGTTGGAGTCGAGTGAAGAAAAGAATAAAGTGAGTCAAGAGTTACTGTGGAGAGGACCGGAAGAGAGTCCTCGGACTCTTATTCATATTTTTGTCTCCTATTTATAAGGGTGTATTTTGTACAATTACAGAAAAAACGAAATGGTAATGAAAACTACACAAAAATGAGGGAATAGTTGGGGGAAATGTTCTTAATATTGTCAATGCTCTAATAAATTGTATGTATTTCATTTCATATTTGTATTATAATTTGAATTTTGATATGACGGTAGTTCGTTGATTGATTCGCTAGAATGAGGCCGACTGAGATGATCAACTGGGTAGCGACCGTACCTTGTGTTTGGTCGACCTAGGCGTTCGGTCAAATGACAATCTTGTTCGTCGCATCAAAAAGCTGGTCGGTCGTTCAATCATTATCAGCGGTTTTTTCCTGTGTTTCAGTAGGTCAACTGATGAGTCGATTTGTTTTATCGGGTGAACTGTGAATCACTTGTCACTTTGGCTCAAGTTTTATTACCTGGTATGTTCATTGCCCCAGCTGGATACCTCTATTTGTAAGATCTTAGTTGAAGCTTTTTGCTGACTGTGTGAGGCATCCATTGAGGCTTGATGCTATGATGAATTACGCCTAGCTCTTAGCAGATTTCGTCGCTATTAGGCGATGGACAATCTCTAGAGCTTTGACTTGTGTCGGGTTTAGAGACATAATTTCACTTGTTTGGTGGTGACTTGTCGGTCAACTGTACACTCCTGGGAAACTTTTTTATATTCAGTCTTTCATTCTTTTTTATATTCATTTCAATAGCTCTAGTGTATACACATAAAATTTTTTGGTGATATGCCCCTTAACTATGTAGGTAAATGGATGGTATGTAGATAAATAATATCATTATCAATTGCTCCTTAACTATCAATTGCTCAAAATAATTAACGGAGAAATTACGAAGTCCGTGTCCGTATGTCCGAACACCGGCGACGATCCGACTACACGAAATACACGGCAAAGAGACTAGCTTGTAGACTCTTTGAACCTGATTTAGTTCTGCTGATTTGTATTTGATTTGTTTATATTAATTTAAAAACTAAAATTCAAATGAATAATTAAATTTTTTATATAAAATTAAACATTTGATTTGTCCATGATTTTTCTTATAAAATTAATAAATAATTTAAAATTTTAAATAAATATTTGACTTTTAATATTCATTTAAGCTTCGAGATTTTTAAAAAAATATTCAATTTTTAAACGAATATGATCAAGCATTAATCGAGCAAATTCGAGTTGTTGAACAAGTGCAACTCACCTTTAAATATTGATGACAGCCTAAGACAATAGGAGATATTAACAAAGGCAATCTTTAATTAAATTTGGCTTTACTTTAAATTAATTAATAATTAAATTAATTAATTTGGCTTACTTTAAATAATCTCTCTGGTTATCGAACCACCTCAGCTCTTTAAGATAAACTCATTTTTTATAAATTATATTATCAATCCTGCTTCTTATAAAATATTTTTCTTTAATTTTCAGAGAAAAAAAAAACATATTTATTTATTCAAATACAAATTTTCAAAATGTTCATGTTCCTCCAAGATATTATTTTCCTTAAGAACTAGGGGTGTAAACGAGCCGAAGACGAGCGAGCCCACGCACAGCTCGTGTTTGGCTCGTTTATATTTCGAGCTCAAAAAGCGTGTTCGTGTTCGACTCGTTTGCTTAGCGAGGCGAGCACGAGCCGTTCACGAACAAAGAGTCATTTCGACAACCCTAATCACGTAGCAATAAAAATGTTAAGGATTGGGTCAAGATTTAAAACATCATTTGAATCTATTTTACTAATTTTTATTCTATTTTCATCTTTAGTACTTTTAATTGCTTCTAAATCTTTGTAGCCGTGTAGCTAATTAAATTTTTAAAAAATACTACTCATCAAAGATATATATATATATAATTGATTAGTAGTATTTCAAGCCAAAACGAGTCGAACACGAACGAACAAATATTTATTCGTGTTTTTCATGCTCGACTCGTTAACTTAGCGAACGAGCCGAACAAGAGTTGTTCGCAAGCCGTTTTGAAAGCCCTATTAAGAACTTGTCTATTTCCTGTAATTCTTTTTAATTTATATAACTGACCCCCTAAAGTTTCATATTTACATGCATAACAGTAGACTATTTTTTGTATAGATTTATAACTCCAGAAAGTTATAAATATGAATATAGGGGATTAAGTGTGCTTGATATGTAAATACATAAGAATTGTGTGGTATGTCTGTAAATTTTCATGAGAGAATTAAGGGGCATTTACATACATGCCACAAATTTTCTCTATTTATATATATATCTAACAATTAAACTTTAATATTTACATACATGATGCTCGAATCCTTATTGAGAAATTAAGGCGAAGAAAAATAATAATCCATACAAATCTAGAAGAACACACAAAGATTTACGAGGTTCGATAAAGATGTCTACATCATCGGGAGCAGAGCAGCGACTCTCTTTTCAATATTCAGAAAAGAGTACATAATATAAGAAGTCAGAATCTCAACTAGGGTTATAAACATTACAAATTTATAACC